TGGCTGCATCTGGCAAAGAGCAGCCAAGGCTGAGGGGCTGCAGGAGAGGCCGGAGAACACAGCCCAGCCCTGCACTCTCCAGGCAGGGACAGCCCTGGGATGGCTCAGGGTATGGAGCACAGCCAGTGCTGGGGTCAGCCCCAATCCCTCTTGCGTCCTGTCCTTGGGCACGTCCACAGCGGATGGGACGGGACGGGATGGGATGGGATGGGATGGGATGGGATGGGACGGGATGGGATGCAAGAATAGCATGGATACATAAAGCACGTAGCCTGCAAGCTGTGTGAAATAAAGCAGCCTTAAGTCTGTCCCCTCTGAACTTTGAAATGTGCAGCTTCATGTGCAGGTTGGTTTTGGGGGCTTTGAAACAACAGTAACATGAACAGGCATTTGGTAACTGCCACACTCTCAGCACAGCATACAAAGCAATTGGATTTGTGCTGGAAGCAAGGAAATGGAAGCCGAGCTCCTTAGCTACTAAGCGTGCAGATATTTTGAGTAAGAAGAGAAAGGGCAGACAAGTAGCTGGAAAACACTTCCAAGAACAGAAACTTGCTGAAAAGGGTTTTGTGCCAGGACCTCCATGTAGCTTGGGACCTGGTGTATTCTGCAGCAGCTCACAAATACCATGTCTGACATTGCTCTGCGGGTTTTCTGCAGGTCCAGATGGAGGCTTGGAATTTGGAACCATTAATGTCCTGGATAATGTGAAGAAAGTCCTGACTCTAAAGAACAAAGGGATATACAACATTGAGTACAGGTGAGTCCAGCTGCCTGGTGGTGAGCATTTCCTCAGGTTCCCAGGCCTGCATTCTCCCTCTGTCAATGGCTAGAACCTGTTTCCATGCTGGCTACCTCATGGTAAATACAAAACCTGGGCTCTCTAATCTCCACTATTTTACCAGAGAATGCAGTCACAAACCAGCAGTTCTCCAGAGCTCAGCAGGAACCCAAAGGAGAGCTCCAGAAATTTCAGCCACTGAAATTCATAACCTTTCTTTGATGGTCACCTCCTTTCTCCTTCTGAGACTCTGTAAAAGAGTGAATGAAAAGTTTTGGTGTCAAGGTTTCTTGCAGTAACCTTGTGATTGTCTGCACTCTCTGTCAAGATCCAGGATTCCCTGAGCAGACCTGCACTCTCCCTTTTCTTTTTTTATGGTCCTATGCAAAGTCCTGGCTGTGCTGGTGGAACCTCTACTTTTAACTGCAGAGATCTCCATTCCTTCCCTTTCTCCCCAGATTCATACTGAAGGGTGCAGGTCCCAGGATGCGAGACTTGGCATCCCACTTCACTGTCAAGCCTCAGTCGGGCAAGCTGATTGCCTCCCAGCCTGGTGTGAATATTGAGATGTTCTTCCACCCCACAAGGGAAATCCTCCTCAAGAACAACCCCATCCTGTACTGCCAGGTGAGCTGCCTGGGCCAGGCTGTGTTACCACACGGTGTTTTGGGAGCATAAACAGGATAGGTGTCTAATGGAAGGAGAATCCTCTCTCCTACATACACAAAGTCTTTCAGAACCATTTGGGAGGCTTCCTAAGTGGAGCTGAGAATCTGACTCTGGAGGAGGTGTTTAAACAGGGATGGGTGAACTGATGGAGGCCTGGGGTGGAGGCTGGGAACTGGGGTAGAGGCTGGCCTCTTTGTTTACCACCCCTTCCTGTGGACACAGGTGACAGATGCCATCTCAGGGGAAGGAGGCCAGACTGTTGCCAACATCCCAGTGAAGGTGTCGGCAAAGGCTGTGTACAGCAAGTTCAGTATTGAGCCTGCCTCACCCATCAATTTCGGTGCCCTGCTGAAGGGCAGCAAGAAGACCCAGATTGTTGTGCTGGAGAACAAAGGCATGCTCAGCTTCAAATTCCGCATCCAACAAGCACCTGAGGATGCATCTTCATTGGAAGGCAAAAGGTACGAGAAGCCCTGCACCACCCTTCCTGTCTGAGGAGGCACCACCCCACGGCTGGTATGTGGCAGGCAGCCAGGAGACCTGGGCTGTCGCCCATTTGCATCCCTGCCTTGGGGAGAGGGAGCAAAAACACTCCTTAGTATCCCCATGTGTAGTAGGAATCTGGTGACAGAGCTGCTCTGTCCAGCAATGGGTGCTGCAGGCTGCTCTCTGGGAACCCTCTGGAGCAGGAAGGCTTTCCTCTGTGAGGAGGAAGGCCAGCTTTGGCCTCAGAGAAAGGCAGGGGAGCTCAGCATGACAGATATCTCTGCTTTCTCCTCTCAGTTCAAAGCCAGGGGAATCTGCTCCATCGGCTACAAAGCGCTCAGCAGGAAGGAAATCAAGTTTGACACAGGTGGGTGACTCCTGCTCCCCAACAATGCTGCTGCTGCAGGGGATGTGAGAAGATGCTGCTGTGCCCAGGCTGGGGACTCATCTCCATAGGGTGGGACGTGGTCTGCAGGATGGAGTCCAGGATCTGCTCAGTCCCACTGACAGTCCTGTACTCTGGCTCTGACCTGCAGTTGTGGGGTCAACAGAGGGGAGCAGGTGTGTGATAGCTGCTGGCCAGCATAGATCTGTGAACACCACAGAAGCAAAAACATCCCCCCCTGAACTCCCAGTCCACAGAGCTCAGACAACATTGCTTTTTCTTCTTCCCAGTCCCCTACCTCTCCCATCACTTCTCACAGCTACTTCTGCTCTCCTGTGTTACCTCTGGAGGCTGAGGATCACAGCTACCCATCTTCATTCTTTACACTCAATCTCCTTTCTCTCTGCCACTTGGGACTGGTTGCAGCTCCTCTTGGCTTGTTGGTCTCAGCCTGGGGCTGCCTTTGGGCCATGGAGTCATCTTTCCCTGCCCTGGGACTGGCTGCTTGGGCCCAGCTGGAGGCCAAGGCAGGACATAACTCTTTGCTGGGGTGCTCAAGGCACAGCTGTTAGCCGTCAGCCTCTCCTGGAACTTTTTCTGCAGGGTCACCTCAATCTTGGCATGTTCACGGTGTCCCCTTGCTCCGGCTCCATCGCTCCGTGGGGCCAGCAGAGGATCACAGTGGAGTGCCTCGCAGGGCAGGAGGGGACTTGTGAGGAGCAGCTCTACATAGACATCGTGGGCAGAGACCGCAAGGAGAATCCCCTGGGCATTCCCTTTACTCTGACTGCCGAGTCCTGCCTGCCAGGTACGTACTGTCCACAGGTTCCCTTGGCCAGACCTGCTGCTGATCAGCACCTAAACTTGCTGCATGGATAGGGAGGCATGTTAGCCCTGGTGTCCCACCTTGAAACCCTCAGAGGTTCCAGCCCTCTTCAAGTCAGTGGACTCATCCCTCCCAGGCTGAGAGGGACTGAGGCTGACTGAGCTCCATCCTCATAGCCAACTCCTCCATCCAAGGCTGCCTTTAACAGTCGCCTGGGCACAAAGAGTTTACCAAGCCTTCTGAGAGGCCAGCAGGGCCCAGAGAAATTCATCAGGGAGACTTCTCCATGCTCATCCCTCTGGTCTGTCCACAGCATTTGTTGAGGATGTCTTGTTGATCTTCGAGGAGTACCCAATCTGCAGCAGCATCAACCTCAACCGCAAGCTGCTCTCAGTGAACGGTGTGGGCCTCTTCGTCAGAGATGAGAACAAATTCATCTTCAGCAAGGTTCTGGTTGGGCAAGAGGGTGAAGCTCATTTCAATATCTACAATGCAACTGGTCTGTCATGTGACGTGGTCCTCTCCATCAAACCCCAGCCTGGACAGGTAAGAACAGGAGGCCAAGGTGATGGTTGTCCTCTAAGGGCCATGGGAGAGCCTGTTTTGTTCTCCAGATGCATTGCTTCCTGTGGCCCAGACTAGCTCAGTGTAGGTCAAACTTCAGGGCAGAGCAGCAGAGCCAGGGAACAGTTGTGTTCAATTCTCATGTCTTGGGCAAGGTTTTAGCTCACACCTCTGGGTCTTTGGTGGGAGAAGTGAATCCTTCTGAACCTCTCTTGGAAGCACACTCAGAGAGGGGCTGTTGTGAACTGACATGCCAAGGCTCAAAGCAGAGCATTTCCTCAGGCTCCCTGGCTTTTCCTTCTCTTTGAAGGCCAGTTCTAGGTTATTTGCAGGGTTTTCCATGCAGTGCCCGCCTCCCTTATTTGCTGGGGCAGCTGCCAGTGCTCAAAACACACAATGCTTTAGTAGCACAAGGTCAGCATTCCTTGGGAAGGAGGGAGTCTGCCCAGGGAGGCAGGAAGGAAGACACACTGTCTGGGGCTGTTCTCAGTAATGCATTTATGAATAAAGCTGTGTCGTGTTGAAAGGTGTTTTCTCCTGACACTGCTCTCTGGTTTCCCCCAAGGAAAAAAGTCCTACCGATGTTTTCAAGTTGGATCCAGTCAAGATGACTGTTCCTGGTTCATCCTATGCCGTTGCTACGGTGACCTTCACCCCACCAGATGAGCAGACCTACAACTGCACTTTCAGGGCTTGCCTTGTCATCCCAAAAAGGTAACTGAGCCTGTGAAATATTGGGGGAGGCCTCACTGGGAAGGCACAGAGCTCCTGTCAGCACTAATACTTTCAGTAGCCTTAGGCAGAGTACTTGGCATGAGAGGATCTGGGAGACAGTAACTGTTAGGGCAGAAAAATGAGGCTGATGGTTTAGCCTGTATGAGGAACTGTAAAGACAGGGAATATTAGGTAGCCAACTGGAAGTTACTGAGATGTGCTACAGCTGAACTGGTGTTTCCAAGGACAAAGGCTTAGATGAAGCAGTTTCTGTGCTAGCAAGTCAGCAGTCACAATTTCTTCTTTGTTTCTGTAACAGTAAGTGATCCTCTGTGATTCCCTGGCATTCATGAAGCTATTTATGTGAGTGATTGGAGCTGGCAGGAAAGAGGAGCCCAGTTCCTCTGCCCTGGGACCTGTGTACAGGGGCTTTGACCTGCCCTTCCTCAACCCTTTAGTGGCTGAATTGGAGCAAGAGAAGTCTAATTGCTAATAAGCAATTGCTTTTATACTGTTCTTGGAAATTA